TCTCTCTCTCTCTCTCTCTCTCCTTTCGATATATTTAAAATAAATTTTACAAGGTTTTACTCACCCCATCGACCATGTTTAATGGGACCCACCTCTGACAGTGCTACTTTCTCAAAATCGACCCGATAGTCTCGTTTAATTAGATCTATTAAGGTGTCCACTACATGATTGCCGATCACCACGTGTTTCTCATGTTTATCGTAACCGCCGCCCACTTCATTGACACCCTTATCGCCGCCGCCCACCACTACTCCCTTATCATTACCCCCAACGGCGCCCCCAAAGTCGTAATCGGCACCGCCTGACGGGTATTCTCCTTGACCTTTGCCACTGTCGCCAACACCAGGGTATTTATCACCAGGTTTTACCTGACCGTAGCCTTCATTGCCCGGGTATTTGTTTTTGGTGTCAATTGAAGGGTGTTTATCACCAGGTTTTGGCTGACCGTAGCCATCATTATCAGGGTATTTGTTTTTGGTGTCAATTGAAGGGTGTTTATCACCAGGTTTTGGCTGACCGTAGCCATCATTATCAGGGTATTTGTCTTTGGTGTCAATTTCTGGATATTTTTCACCAGGTTTTACAGGGCTGTAGCCATCACTACCCGGGTATTTGTCTTTGGTTTCAACTCCAGTGTATTTGTCTTCGGGATACTTATCACCCGCACCGGCGACTGGCGTATCTGGCAATGAACCTGGTTGTTTTTTATGCTCTTTACCAGTATCAGGCACATTAAAACCATCATCATAACTCTCTTCGTATCCAGGTTTTTGACCATGGGGCTTTTTATCAGCACCAGGTTGTTTTTCATCACCAGGTTTAACAGGGTTACCATATGTCTCCTGATCTTTGCCGTACTCATCGTTACCTTTATTGTCGGGATCGTAACCATAGCCTGTGTTACGGCTATTGAAGTCTTTGTTACCCCCAATGGAAACCTTTTTATAATCTTTGGCCAAATCAACATCACTGGGCTCTACGGCTTCGTCGGTGGGCGACTTGTCGTGAACTTTGACCTTATTGTCCTTGTTCTTAGCCACACCCCCATCGTAACCTTGGTATTCATCGGTACCGTCAGGTGGACTGTTTTTGGCATCTAGATGTGATTTTTTGTTGTGATCCTGGTCGTTTGTGAAAGTTTTATCTGTATCTGGTGTTATGTGTTTTGTTTTAGTTTCATCAGGGTTGTGTTTATTGCCGGTTAGTGCTGTTTTAACGGTGGTTATATCTACTTCATCTAGTTTAATTGGAAAAGTTATAGCAAGTTTTTATTTTATCAACATTATTATATTATTAATAACAATGTAAAAATGTTATCTCACTTAAAGTAATTAATCTTTAAATACATACCGGTATTATAAGTTTGGTTTTCCTCGTCGGCCAAACAATAAATACTTGTTAATAGTAGTAAATAAATAACTGACTTAAACATGATCAATAATGATTACTAGCAATATATTACTAGCTTTGACAATTTTGACTTATCCAGCACAATTGAAAAATTTAATCTAACACAATAAAATACTGATAATTTGAGCTCATTGTAAATGTTTTATGTAAAAAATTAATTACAATGAAAACTTCAAACAATTATAATGAATGTAAGTTAACAGACATGGGATATCCCGTTCCGGCGCAACAATATATAAAAAATTGTATAAATTTTTAGTGAAAAGTATTTCAAAGTGTTATAAAAAATGACATTAAATTTGGAAATATTATTATTTCTAACGGAAAACAGATTTTATCGCTAAATGTCTAAAAAAATTTGTTGTATTTAAACTTACATATGAATAAAATATATTATAATTAAACAAGCATGTTTATGTATCAAACTAATGGTAAATAAAAATTATAAATCAAAAATTTATTAAATTTATATTTAAAAATGGAAATAATTTACGACTATATAAAATATAAATTAAAAAATTATATAGCTAATAAATGTTGTTAAAAGTAAGGTTTATAAAAAAAACAATGTACGTTAATCAGTTTTAGATTTCACAAATGGCGAGTGTTGAGTTAAAACAATCATCATAAATCCCGTAACACAAAACATCTCGATCACAATAAACGCCGCATTCCATGAGTAATACTCTGCGACTGTAGACAATGGGAGGCCAGCGAACACACCGCCAACTATTGATACAAATAACCGCATTAAAAACAAATATTATTACAACTAGCTCTTTTACAAATACACAAACCTAAACCGGCCAAGGTAACAATAGCAGAGTAGGTGCCCGCCAACTCCTTGGGTCCCAACTCGGTGCCCATCACTGATATATTAACCACATTACCAGATATAGCCACACCTATTAGCAGCGCTGTCATCACTAACCATAGTGTGCCGGAGCTCTCATATGTACCGAAACACAGAGCATGTAAGCCAACGGCGTTCACAGCAAACATGACCACCGATACCAGGAGGCGGGCCCGGGGGCGCCAGAGGGGGTCAGTGTTTGAGGGCTGTGCCCGGCCAACCAGGGTATCGCTAAGCTTACCAGCCAACACTTTACCAAAAATACCGCCTACACTCGCAACACTAATGAACATGCTAGTGCGATAGGGGTCAAACCCGAGCTGTTTATCCATATACATTGGCAGCCAGTCCATAATCCCGAAGCGGCCGACGCCCTCCATGAAACTAATAGCTATAGTGAGCATGGTTAACGGACTTGATAGTATTTGCTGCCATACACTAGCACCAACAGGTTTAATGTTGGTTGTTTTAGTGCTCTTATTATTGGATTTGTTATCGGCACTGGTAGGCTGGTTACCATCGAGAAATATATAACACACGGCGCCCACCATAAGGGTTTGCACGCCGGCAAAGGCTATGTATTGGCGCCAGCCGTACGCCCCCGCTATCCAAGTGGCTGCGAATGGGTTAACAATGGAGGCCACGTTCACTGACAAAAGCACCAGGGCCCAATTAGTGGCAAACTGTGCCGGTTTGCTGTGCAACCGGGTCAGACCAATCATGGGTGGTAGGGCCAGACCCTGACCCACACCGTTTGTAAACCATAGGGCTGAGAATAAACCGGCGCTGACTGGTGCGGTTGATAGTAGCAAGGTGGTTATGGAGCATATGGCAAACGCGGCCACTAATAGGGTTCGGGCCGGCACGCGATCGCTGAGTATACCGGCTCCGAACGTGGTAGCGGCCAGTGATACGCCCTGTGCGCTAGATATTGTGCCTATCAGATTGAAAAAATAACAATTAACAAATTGCATGTCAAAATTATATTATGTTAATTTAAATGTACAAAATATAAGCATGTTACAGTGTAGTTATAAATTAATGTGAGTTTAGGAAATAGCATTTTGTAGTAATGTCATATATTTTAATCCTAGACATACCTGCGCTCTGTAGAGATAATCCCTCGTTAATGAGTTGTGTGAACACAAGTGAAACACATTTACGATTGAAGAATACGGAGAAAAAGGCCAAAAACACGACAAGTAATGTGTAAAATGTGTTTAATTTAAACATTTTAATATTTATTTAATTAAACACAACACTATGATCAAGATGTGTAAAAATTAATTTATTTAAACTAATTACTATAAATACTTATTAACTACACATCAGTAGTAATTTCAGTCATGATTAAATGTAATTAAATTAAATATAAAATATTAAGTTAAACATTATTATTTCAATATTATAAACAAACAGTAACTTACAGTATATTGTAAAGCATATCTTACATGAAAGTACAGTATATTACACATTTATTTAGCCACGACCTTGGCAAGTTAAATATATCTTATGTTTTAGTACACTTTTAAAAGTTTGATTGGTTTATTAAAATTGTACATTTAAACATTCAAACAACCATGATTTAATATATTTATTTTAATTATAATTTATTTTTATAATGTTTAGGTTACAGCCATATTATATAAATATCCTGTAATACTTTATGTAATTTTATATTATATTTAATTTGTTAAATAGCCCAAATAACTAGAAATATTGGTTGTATTATAACATGTTTACAATAGCAATGTTATTTCTATTTATAAAATATGTTTATTTGTATTAAATACATACAAATTTTGTTAGTTTAATCATATGTTTTGCCAGACAAGTTTTATTAGAAAGAGAGAGAGAGAGAGAGAGAGAGAG